ATGTACGAAGTATTATTGCAAGTTCAGAATGAATGCTGAAGAGTTCATACTCTCATAAGGTCCTTCTAAATATTTTTTCTTGTTTGAATACACATTTGTGAATACAGAGTTCTGTGAGACTTCTTCTTTTGCACAGAAGGAGATTTTATTGCCACTTCCTGTCCTGTTTCCATTTTTGTGATTGTTCACATCATTTAGGAAACTTGGCAGAAGAAGGTAGCCAGCCAGGTGTGGTGGCACATGCTTGTAATTCCAGCTACTTGGGAGGTGGAAGTAGGAGGATAGTGGTTTGAGGCAGCCCAAAACAAGTTAGTGGGAAACCCTATCTGAAAAACAAACTAAATTCAAAGGATGGGGCGGGGCATGGTTCAAGTGGGATGCCCCAAGTTCAATCTCCATTCTGGGTGGGTAGGTTGGATGGATGGATGGATACGGGTGTCCAGTGCTGGGATTTGTATTTAGGAAACTAAATACAATGTTCTGTCACAGTGAATGACCTTTATAATGAGGAGAAGTAATTATTTGTGGGATAAAGTGGCTTTGGTATTTAACTTTTGTTCTAGTGATATTGCATAACATACAAGTAACTCACCAGGATGTTAACTCTGATTGTTTTGTTGCTTTGGAGGGCATTTTAATTACATATAGGAATTTATGTGAATTACCAGTTTTACTGTCAGAGCCAAATCATTCTCTTGGATTTATGGGAATATATGCCACCAGCAATAGATTAATAACTGAAAAACCACATGAAAAGGTCACTTCAAACCTCAGATCAAAACTGTGGTCTTCTGGATTTTGCAATCTTGCAGCTTTGTGAAACTTCTCTTGTGTAACACAATCTTTACGGCCACCCCAGTGGGCTGTAGTTGCTTAGGATAATCCAGACTGCCCAGGAGTGCTGCCCTAGGACCAAAGTGCCAGCCCCAACCTTCCAAGGGAAAGGATTAGTCAGGATGGACCCATTTTAATAGACAAGCCTGACTTTGGTGATACACATGGCGGGAAAATACAATAGTGAAGGCAACTCTTTTTTTTTTTTTTTTTTTTCTACAAAAAGATTGGGAAAAGAGCCTGGACCACAGCACTTGGGAGGGCTGTTTACGGCAACCACAGCAGAAAGGAATTCTCTTTGCTGGTGAATTCTTCTGGCCTTTGCACTGTCATTCCTGCAGCCAGTTAACCGCCCCCCACCCCACCCCCACACTTCTTCCTTGCAACGTGTTATTTGAAACCCAGCTACATGGGGAGCTTTGAGTTTGGACACTAGGGACCAAATTGTCACCGGATTCTGAACTTCAGTGGAATATTCGACAAGTCAACCAGAGTGATTCTGGCTTCATGGGGGCCCCCCAAAGTCTTTTGAATAGCGAAGACTTGGACACTGGAAAATACATTCAAACCAGGAGCCAAGAATGGAAGGGAGCAGGAGGTGGTTCTAGAGGGATCACCAGTGGGAAGGCCTTTCTGCCTGTGGCCTGCTGCGTTACAAATGCACTGGTTAGTCCTGCTTTTTCGAAAAGCCAGATTTCTTGGTGGTAAGGGCCAGCACTGCTTCACTTCCTGAACTGGAATCTCTTATCCTTTTGCCCTTCCTTCCTCCCCCCACCCCCCCATGGGAACAAAGTCCCCAGTCTCTGGAAAGTAATGCTAAGAAAACAAACACTACAAAGGCTGGTAACGTAACGGGGACCTCTCTAGTGTTTTTTGTGAGCATCTAGGTTCAGGGAGGAAGGGGTCTCCCAGCTCTAGGAGTCAGCAGGGTCTCTTTGTAGTAGGCATCTGTATGTTTGGCCAGATGTCCTCCCAGGGGAGGGCAGAGAAGGAAAGATAAAACAGAGTTCTTATTAAAAATAAGTCTCTGGGAGGGGGAGAAAAAACAAGCCAGAGAAAGTGTGTCAAGTGGAAATGGAGTCCAGGCAGTGCCATCTGATTCCGATTAGTGCCCGTACAGTCAGCAGTGAGAAATGTGCTCAGCAGGGAAGTGCCCTGCTCTTTGGAATGTGAGCCAGTGACAGCTGCCTGCAAGCCAATCTGCATGGGCGCCATAAGCACAAGACGTCCAGTGGCAACCCAGGGCTAGCACACAGGAAAGAACAGGACACGTGGCTCCTGATCCTGCCTCACCTCTCTTCCCATCAGTAACACAGTGGAACTTGGCCTGATGGCCTCTGTGCTACCTTCTGCCCTCAGGTTCCATTATCCACTTAACCTGCTCTCTGCCCCAATCTCCCGAGGCTCTTCTGGGTGGAGTGTGTATCATCCTGGAGAGTTATCAAGAGCTCACCTGCTACGGTCCAGAATGAATGAAACTCCCACCAACCATGGAAGTATCACCCAGTCTTTGTACAGGAGGGTGGTGAAGCATCCCTGGCTGTCATCCTGGTGCTTCACAGTTGCCACCAAAACAAACTTACTTTTTCTCAACATGGAATGTGGCATGTTTGTGGGTCTACCTACACTGATCCTCTCCCAGTTTCAAAAATATGGTCACTCTTACTTGATGGAAGGGGATTTTGGGAGAAGAGAGAGAAAGAGTCCCCTTTAGTTAAGGGTGGGCCATTGAAAGTTTGTTTTCATTTTTTCCTCTTGACACATGTCATGAGGACAGCAGCATTTTAGTGCAGGGTGAGGCTGGATTCCTGAGGGAATGGAGGAGGAGGAAGCTAAGCAGACAGAGACTGGCAAGTGGAGGGGTGGTGGCATTTGGGGTCCAGTACAGGTTAGAATCCTAGCTACATGGAAAGATGTCATTTCAGCCCTCACTAATGAGTGTCCTGCACAGAGAGAATCACAGATGCTGTATGACCCAGCTTAGAATCTGAACTTTTTGCCCAGGGCTGGCCTCAAACTGAGATCCTCCTACTTACTCTTCCGACATACTTGGGATTACAGGCCTGTACCACCCACACCCAGCTCATTTGTTCAGAGAGGGTCTGTCTCGCTGTCTTTTTGTCTGGGCTGTCTTTAAGTCAACATCTTCCTGATCTCTGACTTCTAAGTAGCTGGGATTATAAACCATCACTCCCAGGATCCTGGTGTTTTGAGTTTAACTATCTGAGAGTTTGGTTAGTAGCATTTAACTTGGAGATCTGTTTCTTTTCTTCTGGTCATTTTGATTTTTAGATAGTCTCATTATGTAGTCTAGGCTGGTCTTGAACTCACAGCCCTCCTGTTTCAGACTCCCAAGTGCTGGGATTACAAGCGTGTACTATCATACCTGGCTAAATACCTGTTTTGGCAGAATTAGTATTAAAGTCAGTTTTGGCACTTGGATGTACAGGTGGTTATTACAGAAGTAAGGCAGAAAGGGAAAATGGGAACATTGTAACACAAAGACAGGAATGTGCTCTAGGTCTGTTGGATAAACAGTCTGTTCTGCCAGCTTCACCTTGTGCTTCCAAGTATGGTCCTCAGACCAGACATCATCCAGACCTTGTTAGAAATGCAGACCCTTAGCTCCTAACTCAGACCTCCTGAACTCGAGCCTACGTTTCAACAATGCGATACACGAAGCCCTTTCACATTAGAGAGGCAGCTCTAAAGCATGGCCCTGGTCCAGCAGCTCCAGTGTCACCAGGAGCTTGTCAGGTTGATATCCACATTCTCAGGCCTCTTCTCAGACCTACATCAGAAATACTGCGTGTTAGCAAGCCCCATGAGTGAGTCTGAAGCACCCCAAACTTTGCAAAGCCTTCCTCTAAGCTGTGGGACAGACATATGGGGGCCCCTTCCCTCGTGTCTGTTCCCAGAACACCACAGGCTTGCTTGACCCCTAAGAGCTAAATTGTAGTCATATTGTACTGTGTTTCCGTCATCATTTTGCATTACACACAGCTCAAGAACTCTGTTCACCAAAGAAGGCCACTGTGTGTAAAATTACAAACCAAAGGACAGAAACTTCGAGTGTGGCTTAATCCTCATGACTTACCTATCAGAAATCATGGGCACAATCACAGGAGATCAGTCTTTTAAGTGCTGTCACTCCTGGGGACACTGTTAGACACACTCAGGGAAGTGGAGCAGGAAAACAAGGAGTCTCCTGAAATTCTGATCCTTTGTACAGTGTGATTTTCACATTAAAATGATCATAGTCTTCATCCTCTGTGTTTCTAATCAGTGAAATGGAACAGTCCCTATTCATGCGTTAGTTTCTGGAGGCCCTCGGAGGAGGAATGCTGGTTTACCACTTAGACTGGACTGTAAGCAGTAAAAACTTACCTCCTCCTCAAAGATGTCTGTTTTTTCTATTTGTTCAATAGTCATTATTCACAGTACTGTCACAGTATTCTGAGAGTATCTGTTTTTGTGTGTATGCAATACACAAAATGGTTATAGACTATTAAGAAGTTCACTCTGAAAGTAACTGTTTTATGTGATAGGTTCCAATATGTTACAACCAGTGGACTGTGGATAGACTACTTTTTTGGGGGTAGGGAGACGGGGGTCCTAATTTGTTGTGTTTGCCAGTTTCCATGGTGTAAATACTCACTTAGGGCTGATTTCATGCTACCATCAGTTTAATGACTAGAATTCCTATAAATTTAACAAGTGGCTCTCACAAGCCAGTGGGAACCAGCTCTAATAGTGAAACAAATTTCAAGGACAGGTCACAGGTTTTTGTTTGTTTGCTTGTGTTCAAATTGCTTTCTCTCCAATAATGTCTGAAGCAAGAGGATTTGACTATCTTAAATCTTTTGTCCTGTGGAGTTGTTTATTGAAATTATAATTGTAACAGAATGCAATTTGAAGCTATTCAATGAGACAAAGTTATATGTTATTTTAAAGTTATAGTAAATACAACCAAAACTACATAATGTAATAATTACAGAGCTTGCATTGTTGCAGCAGTGAATTTGTAATTTTAAAATACTTCCAGTAATACACTAAGGCAGATGTAAAAGTTATTCTTAGTTATGGCACTTGAACACCAAGGCAAAAAAGTCACTATTTGAAATGCTGTTTTTGTTTACTTTGTTAAAACTTCTCTTACAGGTATTCAGGAAGGAACACAATGTACCAAATGTAAAAATAACTGGGCACTGAAGTTTTCTATCATATTATTATATATTTTGTGTGCCTTGCTAACCATCACAGTAGCCATTTTGGGATATAAAGGTGAGTACCCTTTCCTTTTCCTTCCAAATAGCAAGGGAATTTGGAAGTTAATTTTCATTAATAAGCATGAAAAAAGGTCATATTTGGAAGTATGAAGTACAATTGATCCTAAGTATCCAGAGGGAATCAGTTTCTAGGACCTCTGAGGATATCAGAACCTGTGGATGCTATGGACTGTAGGGTTTGCAGATAACCTTCGCACATCCTCTCACATCTCCGTACACTTACGTCACCTGTAGATGACTGTGATACCTAATACAATGTAAATGCTGCATAAGCAGTTGTTTTACTGAATTGTTTAGGGAATAATACAAGAAAAAAGCCTTGCGTGTTATTTTTTTAAATCTATCTATACATGTTAAATACAAATGCATTTTGTTCTGAATAGTTTCAGTCTAGGGACATCTGCTGAACTGCATTTCTACAACTCAGGTGTAAAACTGAGCAGCCTCATGAGCTCCTTCACTGTCTGAGCTTTTTGTGCTATAGGACCTTCCAACAATAATAATGGTCCTCTATGAGCTTTAAACATTGTCTTTCCTCTTTGTGCTCTTTCCTACCTATTTCCAGCTGCTCCCTCTTCCTCTGTTTTTTTTTTGTTGTTGTTTTTTTCATCTTATCTCTAAAAGGCTCTGTGGAAACCCTTGACTCAGCACATAGGAAAACTCTGCTTACCAGAGGATAAGCAAAATAAGATGGTCAGTGGCACAGCTTACTCATTCAGGGACAGGCCAACTGATTCCCTTTTTCCTCTCTAGCACATTTACTGTTTTCATACAGTGCCATGAAAATATTGACTGCAAATTAAGCAAAGAGCAGCACCATCACCTCAGCGCCACCTTCCAAAATGTTAGGCCTACGCACGTCTGCTTTAAGGTGAAGGAGGAGGTTTTTGCCTGAATCCTCCTGACTTGTAGACAAAGTAGGTTCCCCCATCCACACACCTCCCAGAGACCACAGGTAGAAGGTGTCACGATTCAGAATCACAAACTGCGTAAGCCCTTCTATAGAAAACAGCTGTGGAACTTACATGAGACAGACATTGGTCACAGCCCGAGGTGACTAGGTCTTGATCTTCAAACACTCGTCTCAGCAGCCTTCACCACACCCTCAGACCTGATGGATTACACTAGCAGAATCCTGGTACGTTCTCTTCTCTGTTCCTTAGCCTTGGACCTGACCTAGGAAGAGACTCAGTGTGAGTTCCTTCCCCCTCGTGGTTCCTCCCACTCTTGCCTAGGGGTTAGTGGGTTCCTAAGGAAATAGCACATTAGAATGAGAATGGGCTTCTCAGGCAAATGGTCTAAGTTCCAGTCTTGATCCTACTCACCTGAACACAACTGTGAATGTTCAGCAAGTGCTTGCCTGTGTGGCTCTAAAACCTGGTCATAAACGATCATCCCTTAGAGGTTCTGATTTTGTATCTTTAAAGTGGTATCCATAGGACGACTTTTCAAGGTGTTGGTATAAGCAAAGGTAAGGTAAAAGAATCCATCCTATACTATAGCTGATCCCAATAGATAGTGACTCCGATGTTTTACTTTTTCCTTTATTCCTTCTCTTTTTGCTTTTAGTGGTAGTGGAGTTTGAACTTGAGACCTTGCACTTGCTAGGCAAATACTCTACAACTTGAGCCACGTCCTTCAGCCTTTTTCGCTTTTAGGTTATTTTCTGACAGTTTTTTTGCCCAGGCCTGGCCTAGACCACAATCCACCTATGCTTCCATATAGCTGAGATTACAGTGAGCCACCATGCCAGTTGATTTGTTGAGATGGGGTCGCACTAACTTTTTGCCATACTTTTTGTTTGATTGTGACTGTAACCATAACCTTTCCGATCTCCACTGTTTCTTTTTTTCCTTTATTGCTGCATTTATAAGCTCTAGCCATGAGAATGGCAAACCATGTTAGAAGTTCTCAGTCCAGGCTTTTCAGCCCCATCCCTAAGGACATATCCATGGAAAACAACATGTATCATAGAGTGCATTGGGTGATGGATTTAGACAATGAAAATTTGGGAACTTTGGTCATTCTCCATTTGTGATGAGTTCCTTTAACCGGGTCCCCCTTGAGTGTTCTGGTGAACCAACAAACAGAGTACATGTTATGAAAGGCTGTTAAGTCATGAGGAGGGCTGGGTTGAGGGGCGGGGTAGTAACTAGTGAAGAAAAGGAAGGTGTCTCTGTCCCCTGTCCTTCAGACCAGCTCTCTTCTTTCCTGCCTTATTTAGGTCATTACTAACTTCTCCACGACTTTTCCTAGTGAGCCGAGATAAAGAAGCAGGTTGAAATTAGGCAGCCATTTAATAACTAACCTCAGGGCTCAGTAAGGAGTGACATAAGCATTTATTGCTGGAAGAGAACCAGACTGGTTTCGCAAATTTATAACGTTTTGTGATTTTTTAAATTTTTAAAAAAATTTTTAGTTTTGGTGAGACTGGAGTTTGAACTCAGGGCTCTACACTTGCAAATCAGGCACTTTAACGCTTGAGCCACACCCCATTTTGTAATTTTTTTTTTAACCTCTGCTTTGAGATAAGGATGAGAATCTTTATACCGTCAAAACTATGAAGATCTGAAGTTTGGTTTTCTATTACTTTTAGGTTTGTTAAGATACAAATATTTCTTTCATTTTTACCAATTGGAAATCCTTCTAGTTCTGATGTGTTACTGGGGTGCTGGTCCATTTGCCTGGGGCCCCTTTTGTCTGTTCTCCACCTAAATGGCTCCTTCTCGCCCTGAATTCACTTAGACACTTCTGCTTGAAGCCCCTGAAAGCTGAGTTAGAGTCCAGCCCTAGACACGAGCCTCCTGTTTGATCCCATGTTGCTCTTTCTTTACTTTTAAGCCTGTCACCCTGTGCCATTGTGGCCAATGTGTCTGGCTTGTTTGTCTTGCCACCCTCAGTTTCTTTTATTTATGAAATCTTGCACTAGTTCCTAGCTTCATGGAGTTTAACGATTGCCAAGGGAGGGAGAAGGGGAGGCAATGGATGGATGATGGATGGATGGTGGATTAGGCCTGATTTTTATGAAGGCAAATAATAGACATCCAGGTACCTCTATAAACAGTCTGCACAAAGGAAACTGTTGCCCCTCCAGCCCCTACCTAGAAACCTAAACTCCTAGAGATCAGCTTGACCTGCCCTGTGTGTGTCATCTTACCCAGGGTGAAGGGACATCTGGGGAGAAAGTACAAGGGCAGGCAAGATAACATCTTGTCCCCCTTCCCTCCTTCAGTGCCTCTATCCCTCAGGCCTCTGCTGACAGAAAAGATAATACCACAGGTCCTTTTGGTTTCCAAACCCAGGCTTAATGAACAAAAGTGTTGATGTTTTTCAGATGGACTTCTCTTTCCATGTACAGGGATCCCTCATTGTTGCTGATAACATTCTGGTGACCTGACATAGTAAGAGGCAGGAAGATAAGACCTAATCTCCCTTCCCATATCTCCCTTTGATGGCCAGAAAACTGTCTCCATTAAAAGAAAGAAAAATATGCAGTGAAGAAATGCAAGGTGTTTCTCTGAATCAGAAGTTGAAAGGAAATGAAACTCCTTCATCTGAGTTGGCAAAGTCAGCTCCGCACTGTTTTCCTTAAAACTGTCTTTACTTCTCCTTTTATGTCACTTCTATAGCTACAGGTTTGAATATGATGAAGTTTCTTCTAGAGAATTTGCTGAACAAGACAGAGAATGTTTAGTCACCCAGACAGGGTTAGTACAGTGGCTGTGATGCTGAGGCACGTCAGCCACTTTGCAGAAACACATTCTTGGTGCAGCCTCCATCCTGGGTTTTTTATCATTAGTCAATTAGTCCACTCTTAAGTTTGGTTTTGTTTTCTCTAGAACATTCCCTAAACAGGAAAGTCCTACCCCATTGCCTTCTTTAGGTGGTTGGGATAAAGGACAGAAACCTGAATCTTGCTCATTTAGGGTCTCCTCTCTCTCAGCATTCCTAGCCATGGAATGTCTGCCTTGCCACTAAGCTCTGCTGAGAGGCATTGACCACCGGGGTTTTCAGAGTGCATATCAGTTCACAATGTAGAGAACTTTAGAACCTGAAAACACCCTACATCTGTTTCTGTAATGAAACCTGAAATAGTGTTCAAGGTAGAAATGACTTTATTGAATCCCAGGGGAGTGTAGCTGTTGTTACTAGACAGTCCCAGGAACCCAAGAGAGGCAGCATTTATCTCTTAGCACCATGATCAGTCTGATAAAACTCTTATGAGCACCAGGCAGGAGCTCTGTGCTCTGTTCCCTGTCCTCAAGGGCCATGGCCATGGCCTGTGTCTCTTGAATCTTTATATCCAGCACTGTAGCAGATGCTTAATAAACACCTGACAATGGTGACTTTAGTATAGGACTGGGAGCATAGCTCAAGTGGTAGAGTGCAGGGCTGCCATGTGCAGCTCCCTAGGTTCAATCTCCAGCAGCGGAAAAAAGTGACAGAAAGAGAGAGAGAGGGGGGTGGGGGGGGTGGAGAGGGAGTGTGTGTGTATGTGCGACAGTCTTTCCCTTCAAGTGATTTCTTTACTGAAGAAAGAAATACTAAACGAAAGGTGATGTGAAGTTGTAGAAGGAACATGGATTCTTGAGTTAGGTGTCCTCGCCTCATATCCCACTTAGTCACTTACAAGCTGTGTGATTCTGAGACATTACTGAACATCTCAGCCTCAGTTTCTTTAAGAGTGGGAAGAATTAACTGCGGTGATCATGTGGTGTGCCTTGCAAAGAACAGGAACTTTCCTTATATTGTAGAGACAATGGAGGCTATTGCTAGTGCCATTCAAATGAAGCTCAGTTGGTGTGCTCTGGAATCAAATGATAGGCAAGGCTTGATACAATGTGGGGTGGTGAGATTGGGAGTGCACTTTAGAAATAGGTGGAAACTAGACAAGAGAGGTCAAGGCTGGGCCAAGGGAGCATACCCAAGTGCTTTTATTAAGAAGGTATGCTTAGGTATCTGCAACTCCAGCGTTCTGAAGAAAAAATCCTCATCAAGAAACAACTTCCCATAAAGGTGATGTGAAAAACCGGGCTGCTAGTGCAGTTGGAGCTTCTAGGATAAGACAGTGTGGCTCTGTCACCATTTTCCTGATTGAGGATTTGGGTGTAAATTGAGAGTAAGAACCAAGGAAACACTGTGTGTAGCATAATACGTGTTGGTTCTGGATCAGCCTAGTGTCCCCATTCACAAGCCAGCTGCCAGCATCGGGACCTGAAGTTTGTAGCTTTCTACCAACGTCCTATTTTTAAACACAGACACACACCCCAGTGCATGGAGCTGGTTCATTAGCACTTGTGGGCAGGGCAAATCGTTTCCTTGCCTGACAAAAGACAAAGTTAACAGTTTCCTTGGTCTTCTTAAAATGAAAGCCTTTATTCATTTTATTCTAAGCACCTGAATTATCTGTCCATGACTGTTCTGTATTTTTGTAAACTAAAATGGGAGAAAAATTAGAGAGGTTTCTTTGGCTTCCAGGAAAGAAGGGCAGGACTTAAGATCCTGCGTGTGGTTTGAAGACAGACTGAGGCATATGTTTTAATTTCAAAATCAAAACTGAGCCCAAACTTATAAACATTTCATATTTCATTTTTTAAAAAGTTGGTTTTGCTAAAATGCATCGGATACATTTTGTTCTGCAAAGTTTCCAGGGATTTAGGGTATACACGCCTACCTCACAACCAAAGATAGATTGTTAGAAGTTGACTCAGTGTCTATGTAGCAATTTTATAAACAATGACTGTTCAACAAAATGTCACCCTTGTTGCCAGTGCTGAGGCTTCCCCGGTTGGTTGTTTGGTTTGTGTGTTTGCCTGTGTGACCTGTAGCTCAGCCAAGGTCTTCTATGCCTCCACAGCATAAGAAATATTCATTGAATGTCTACTAAATGCCACACTGAGCTAAGAGCTGGAGCTTAGAGCTTCTTAACCTTACAGTGGTGCAAAAGCAATATGCATTCAGTAGGAACTGAATTTTGAATTTTGCTGGTTTTCCTGGTTATTGATAGTATAGTATGATAATTGTTTTTTGTTTGTTTCGGTGGGACTGGGGTTTGAACTCAGGGCTTTGCACTTACAAAGCAGACACTCTACCTCTTGAGCCTACCTCCAGTCCATTTCGCTGTGGCTCTTTTGGAGATGGGGTCTTGTGAACTATTTGCTTGGGCTGGCCTTGAGCCTTGGTCCTCCTGATATAGCTAGGATTACAGGTGTGAGCCACTGGTGCCAGGCAGCATGATCATTTTTTGTGATGCTGGGCAGTGGCAGTGGAGCCTCAGCTCCCAGTCAGCCCCTTCCCCCCTCACCCTGCCCAATCACAAAGAGAAACAACCAACACTACAGTTGCTATAATGCTAAGCTAGGATGTTTGGCATTTTCAGCTGAGGATATTTCAACTCAGCACTGGATTTATCAGACACAATCCCACTGTGAGGTGAGGAGCTTTTGTACAAACTTCCTGCCCCAAAAGATCTCATAGTAAACAAACCATAACAGCACAGTACCGAGAGTCCTTTAATAAGGAACGGGCTACATGCCTAGAGAATTCTGCAAGATGCGGCTTAGGAAACATTTCCCACAGAAAGTTGAGTCCTGAAGAGCAAGGAGAACTTAACTCAGGAAAGATGCCAGGAAGAACATTCTAGGGGAGAGAACCCATGGAAAGGCTCTAGTGAGAATGAGCATTTGGGGTAATGCACATATTTTACCATGGCCAGATTGGAGATGCTTGAGGGGAAGCGTGGAGAGCTTCTCCAGGCACAGCTCCAGGACCCACCGAGCCATTCCCTTTGTGTCACACACGTGGGAACTTCCTTCTTCCTCAGAGAAGCCAAGAGAATCTTCCCACACCACCATGCATGATGGAATACTTGATGAATAAAATAAACCTGATAAATTAGCTCACAATTACTATACAAAACAGACTTATACTAAAAAAAAAAATCCCTTTCAATTCCTGACTAAACAGAAGCTTGTTGATACCAAAGACCATCATAAGCCAGGCACTGTGGCACGTGCTTGCAGTGCCAGCTACTGGGGAAGTTGGTGTGAGCCCAGGTGTGAATTCCACCTGCCATGTTAAGGAGGCTGATAGTGATGACATTTTGTAAATGATCAGTGTTCTATGCCTTCATGGACAGAAATCAACATAGAAGCTACTGTAGGTCGAGGACTTCTTTAACACATAAAATTAAAACTTTAGTTCCAAACAATTTTTTGAAGCTTCTGAGACATTACAGAATCATAGGAACAATTAAGAATATACTGTTTTCAACAAGCAAATTATAAATTGGGTTCTGTGACAAGTTATTTTTCTAATGTATAGCCGTTCCCATTTTGGGGGGGGCAGGGAGGGGAGTTAGTTTGAGCCAGGGTCTCACTACATCAGCCCATACAGGCCTTGAACTCCCAGTCCTCCCTCCTTAGTGCTGATTGAGCCCAAATCCTTGCACATGCTAGGCAGGTGCTGTACCACTGAGCTACAGCCCCAGCCTGCGTTCCCCATGTTAATTTCAGTTATGCTTTTTGTTTCAATCTGTTTCCTTTATTCTATAGTGAAATGGTCTCTTGTCTTGAAATTGAAGAATTAGACATAAGCAGGTATGTGAACTGATGCATTGTTCTCTGTGTCTTAGTTGTAGAGAAAATGGAGAATGTCACAGGTGGCATGGAGACATCTCGCCAAACCTATGATGACAAGCTCACAGCAGTGGAAAGTGACCTGAAAAAATTAGGTAACCTGCAACAAGAGTGAACCATTGAGTGGAATGCCCTAACTGTACTTTATATAAATGATGACCCCTTTTCAAATGGTGTCGCTATAAATTCCTATCCAGTAGTACACTGAATTTTCATGTCTGTGTGCATGTTGAGTCTTTCCTCATGATTTACTTCAAGTACTTATTTTTAAAGTTAAGGACCAATTTTGGAGTTGACTATTGACCCCTTACCCCCAATTTCTATGTACCAAATAAAATCGAAGACCAATCCTAACTGAAAAGAGCCACTAATACCCTTTATTAAAGGCTCTTTGATAAAATGCTCAGTAAATTCCTATTCAAAATATTTTAAACTTCAGAGAAGAATTATAGAAGTTAATTTATAAACTAAAAGATTCCATCATTTTCTTTTCCTTGATTTTTTATTTTAACTTTTTATTCATTCTTTATTTATTTTTGGCAGCACTACTTAGTAGGCAAGCACTCTTACTGCTTGAGTCACTGTGCCAGCCTATTTTAGCTTTTTAGAGAAGAACTTTGGTGAATTTAAAGGTTTTTTTGCTTCCAAGAATACTCTGCCTGGTATCCTAGAATCTGGTAAATTCGCTGTCTTTCCTTGAGAAGAATGTTCACCCAGGTTTGTCAGTCCTAGTGCTGATCATCCTTTCTGATTCCCCAGGTCCCAGAACTGGGGTTTGAACTCAGGCCTCTAAATTTGCTAGACAGATGCTTTAATCACTCGAGCCATGCCTCTAATCTTTTTTGCTCCTGCCTGGAGTACGATCTTCATATTTTATGCTTCCCACTATCACTGGGATGTCAGGTGTGTGTCACCAAGCTTAGCTATTTTTCCCATCGATAGGGGATCTTGTAAACTTTTTTGCCCAACTAGCCTGGTCAGCTTCCCAAGTAGCTAGGATTACAGCTGGACCCAGTTTTAATAGGTATGTGAATTCTAATGCAGAGTGGTCTACATAGACAACAGGTTTTATATCTGACAGAGTGAGTACCAGTTATATGTCTGGGATCTTGACCTTTGACCTCGCCCAAACATTTCTCCATACCACCAGCCTAAGTAACAAACACTTCTTATTCCAGGGGACCAAACTGGGAAGAAAGCTATAAGCACCAACTCAGAGCTTTCCACCTTCAGATCAGATATTCTGGATCTTCGACAACAACTTCGCGAGATTACAGAAAAAACCAGCAAGAACAAAGATACGCTGGAGAAGTTGCAGGCAAATGGGGATGCACTGGTGGACAGGCAGAGTCAACTGAAAGAAACTTTGGAGAATAATTCTTTCCTCATCACCACTGTAAACAAAACCCTCCAGGCATACAACGGCTATGTCACAAATCTGCAGCAAGACACCAGCGTGCTCCAGGGCAACCTACAGAGCCAGCTGTATTCCCACAACGTGGTCGTTATGAACCTCAACAACCTGAACCTGACCCAGGTGCAGCAGAGGAACCTCATCACCAATCTGCAGCGGTCAGTGGATGACACAAGCCAGGCTATCCAGCGAATCAAGAATGACTTCCAAAATCTGCAGCAAGTTTTCCTTCAAGCCAAGAAGGACACCGATTGGTTGAAGGAGAAAGTGCAGAGCTTGCAGACGTTGGCTGCCAACAACTCTGCCTTGGCCAAAGCCAACAATGACACCCTGGAGGATATGAACAGCCAGCTCAGCTCATTCACAGGGCAGATGGACAACATCACTGCTATCTCACAGTCCAACGAGCAGAACCTGAAGGATCTTCAGGACTTACACAAGGATGCGGAGAATAGAACAGCCATCAAGTTCAGCCAGCTGGAGGAACGCTTCCAGCTCTTTGAGACAGATATTGTGAATATCATTAGCAACATCAGCTACACAGCCCACCACCTGCGGACACTGACCAGCAATCTGAATGAAGTCAGGACCACTTGCACGGATACGCTAACTAAACACACGGATGACCTGACCTCCTTGAATAATACACTGGCCAACATCCGTTTGGATTCTGTTTCTCTCAGGATGCAGCAAGATATGATGAGGTCCAGGTTAGACACTGAAGTGGCCAACTTATCAGTGATTATGGAAGAGATGAAACTGGTGGATTCCAAGCATGGTCAACTCATCAAGAATTTTACAATACTACAAGGTAAGTGAATTCTGCAAGTGCTTGTATTAGTTATCGATTGCTGCAAAACAAATTACCCTCAAAATTTGGCAATTTGAAACAATACATATTGATTATCTCAGTTTCTGTGGATCAAGAATTTGTGAACAGCTTCGCAGGTTGGTCCTGATTCTGTCGAGTTGTAGGTAAGTTATAAGCCAGGGCTGCAGCCATTGGACAGCTCCACTGAGGTGAAGGGTCTGCTTCCAGCACAGCTTGCTCACATGGCTCTTTAGGAGGCCTCAGTACCTCACCATGTGAATTTCCTTGAGTGTCATCACAACATGGGAGCTGGCTGCCTCCAGAACAAGTGATCCAAGGGAGAGAGCAAGATGGAAGCCACAGTGCCTTTTGTGACCTAGCCTCAGGAGTCATACACTACAGAAATCACACACCATATTCCATTCTTTAGAAGTGTGTCACTAAATTCAGTCCACACTCAAGGGGAAGAGAATTAAGCTCCACGTCTTGAATGGAGATGTAAAGATGCTCCATTAATTAGTTGGTGAGTGCAAGATTGGTTAATTTGGATTATCTAAGTATCGATTTTTTTTTTTTTTGCAGTATTAGGGTTTGAACTCAGGGCTTACACCTTGAGCCACTCCACCAGACCTTTTTTGTGATGGGTTTTTCCGAGATAGGGTCTCACACACTATTTTGCCCAAGCTGGCTTTAAACCATGATCCTCTTTATCTCTTCCTCCTATGTAGCTAGGATTACAGGCATGAGCCCAGCACCTGACTTTTTGTTTGTTTGGTTTTGGCAGTACTGGGGTTTGAACTCAGGGCCTCAACACTTGCTAGACTTGAGCCACTCTGCTAGCCCTACCTTAGCTATTTTTATGCCAACATATATTGAGTTCTTCTAAAAGCAAGATTAGGCCATCCATACAAACTTCAAAGTCCTTGACTCAGATTGACTACTTTTGGAGATTCGTAGCTACCATATATTAACATTATCCAGTCGTAAACTTCTTCCACGGGTTTTAAGGTACTTTATGGAAGATTCAGTGCCCAACTATTTGGGCTATACAAAGAAGACCAGATGGTGCTTGCCCTTAGGTAGCTTAAAAATAAAGATAATTTTAGGGTATCAGAAGACAGATAATAAGCTAATATCCTGATTTTCAAAACAGGGGTACAAGTGGACTCTTCACACTGTATTGAATAGGGAATTTGTCTTAAAGCCCAAGAAAGAGATTACAAAAAGATAATTTGAAGTTTCAGGAAGGCTGCAATCATCAGAAAGAGGTCACTAAGAAGAAGGCTGGTGAATCTAGCCTTATTTCTTACACTGACGGAGCTCTTAGGCTGGTTAACAACATATCTGGATTTCATCAAGGCATTTGGCAGTAGTATCCTAAGAATAAGGTGGGGAAATAATTGGAGAATTATTGCAGAATTGGGTGGATTTATTGGTCGTACTATAAAACAAATTATATAGCTTAAGTTAACATCCATTTATCCTCTTACAGTTTCTGTGGGTCAGGGGTCCAGGGTCTTACCAGACTGCTGGCTCATTAAGGGCTATGGTTTCATCAGAAACTGGACTGGGGAAGAGAGCTCTGTTTCCGTGTTCCCTTGGATTCTTGGCATAATGTGTCTTCTGGAGCCTATGGGGGGTTCCTGGTCTTGTTTTGGCTATCATCTGGGGACTGTTCCTCAACTCTTAGAGGCTACCCATGATTCCTAGCCTGCAGCCACCTCACAATACTGTAACTTGAGAGCTGGCAAGGGAGTCACAACAATGAGTCTAGTCTGATAGAGTGAAGCCTTGAGTGACATCAAGAGGGCGATTTCCATCACCTTTGCCATATTTTATTTATTATAAGCAAGTCACAGGCTCCACAAAGAAAGGGAATGGATCACACAAGGGCGTGAGATATTGGGGCGTCACTCAAAGGTTTGTTTATCACACTGATTGAATGATCAAGAATAAAAAGTGGTAGTGACCACCCACGAGCCTGGAAGCAGGTCCAGATGGCATATAGCCATCAAGACCCTGCTCAACAGCTGTGTCAGTGACCAGCATAAGGGTATGGATGACCTGATAATTTAATACCTGTGTGATGCAGCACAGTGTATGCTAGCTAATGGAAGATAGAATCAACAGAAGACATAGCTAGAGGAAGTTTGCCTGAAAAGCCATGGAAATTATAAGTATGAGTCACAGTCTAAATAAGGGGTGAGACTTCAGATGGCAAGAAAGATCTTCAATGCTTGGTCTGTTCTTTTTTTTTCTTCTCCTAAATTCAGAATGAAGGCAAATTGTAGCTAATGTGCATCATGATAAAATAAGAGCTTTCTAACTGTTGCATTTGTGATATCTTAGACATTCTTATTCCAGGGTGTTCTCATATTTTCTAGCTAGTAATTTCATAGTTTTATGATTCCACCAGCTTAATTGTTATCTTGCCTTCTGCAGGGAAATTTCTGACATTCAGTTTTTAGACAGCATGGCTGGTCAACTAAGTAAGTGTATGAAAACTCATAGTTGTAGAGTTGCCAATGTTCCATAATTAGTGATTCTTTTTATCAGCTAATATTGAGTGTAAGTATTCTGAATACTTTCAACAAACCATCCCAGTGAATCCTGACAAGAACTCTATGAAACAGGTACTTACAATATCCCTGATTTATAGATAAGGAAATGAAGCTTACACAGGTTTAAAAGTAACTTGCCCAAGTTTACACAAATGGTAAGTATTAAATAAGATTTGAACCCAAGTAGTCTAGTACCAAAGACCATGCCATTAATTGCAAAGGACAGTCACTGAAGATGCATGGCCTTCTTCCCTGTCCTCTGCCCTGCCAGAAGGAGAATAGAAAATGTGGGAAGTGGGAGTTTATTGTGAGTGTGAGGGGAAGGATTTACACACTGTGACAACATGATCCTGTTGGTATTTTCTAAAGGTCATTCTCCGTGCTGGGGGAAGAACAGACTCTGGCGGGGGGTGGGGTAAGTGTGGGGGCAGGGGTTCAGTCTAGCTGTGTGTGACTGGAATAGAATGGGAGCAGTGGGATGACAACAAAGACCCCTTGTTCAGGCTGTGTTTTAGGAGGTTCTGACTGGCATCCCTGGCCAGGCCCTCACCAAGGTGAGAAGTTTACAGGATCAGTGACTATTCAGAGCCCATGCCAGCCACTTCTGAACTGTGTTTGGTACCCAGGACCTTGGAATTTCTTACCCAGACCTTAAGGGTCAGCCAATATGGGTTTGGGGTTGTGTGGATGGAGCTTAGATATAGGATGTAGGATTGGTGTATGTGGCTGTGAGTTTATAGTGTGAGCACCTAGTTGGATGATGGTACAGAGTGGGGAGGTGGCCAGAGAGGCTCATTTAGACATGGTAAGTGGGAGATGTGGTAAATGGGGAGAAGCAATGAAGTTTCTTGGTGTCTCTGGAACATCTTGGCTCAGCTCAGTTTCTGAATGATATTTTTTCACATATGCTTTCCATCACATTTTTCCCGGTCTTGTGTTCACTGCACTTTCTATGAGCTGATCTGAGAAACTTCTGCCTCCAGTCTAGCAGGGATTTCCAGAGAACTCGTGTCTGAAGGCAGCATTCCACACTTCCCTCCATACTTCCTTATCCCAAGCGCCTCTCCTCTTTCTACACACGCTGAGCTCAGCCCTGAGAAGGAGGGAAAGATGGAGCAGGAAGGATTAAGGTTGGCTTATGTGGGCTTCTGATGCTGTCCAGGAAATTCATGTCGACTTGCTTACAGTTCAGCCACCTAAGACAGTTGCCTCATTAAGAAGTGGAAGCTAAAGCTGCACTGAAGTCACATGACAATGTGGAAGTAGACCATCAGTCACAGTTGAATACTGGAAAGTCACCTCTGCATCCTTAAACCAAAACCTTGTTAAGCCTTTCTACCTCCCCACCCCCACCCCGACTCTTAATGGGTTATAAGTAACAGTTTTTATCCTAAGTACTTTCCCAGAGGACCTCTCACGCACCCTCTTGGATAGGAAGTTCCCATCCAGCCCTGAGCTCTTTTTCTGAAAGCTGAGCCCAGTAGCATTTGCATCCTCTGCACAATCCCACACTTCCCACTCTGCTCTTCTGAGAGGCAGAGGTTCAATGGGAAATACAAGAGCTCTGGAGGATGCTAAGCACCTCATCCTCCCTATGCCTTAGTTTCCTCATTGGTGTTACCTTTTGAGGACTTAATGGGATAATATAAGGTACTGAGTGCCCTGCTTAGTATGGGGTTAGCATAACACCCTGTGTGGACAGGTTCAGTTCCTATAAAGATTTCCCTTCTGCTGTAGCTGCCACCAATATTTTGCTGTGGAAAATAAAACAGAGCTTCATGTGCATAAAAGATAAAATCTTATAACAGACAGGGCTATAGTTGATTTCCATCCACAAGCCCTTCCTGCTGGCTTCTGTGCCAGCCCTGGAGAAGAATCAGATTTAGGTGCTGCCAGCACTCATGTTTTCAGTCCACACTGATGGAACGTCTGCGGTATTCCAGTCATGCTGCTGAGTGCTCAGATATGTTGTCTGTTTTCATTGTTACATGTCTTTAAGATCGGAATCGCAGTAGACCCTTTTTATCTGTGGGTCTATGGTTCCAAGGAGACCACTGTTGAGGAAAACCCATGAATGCTCAGGATGCATAGAGTTTGTACTGTGCTACACGTTTGATTCATTTTTCCCACAATTCTGCCTAGCTTCTGGTGCCTCTCAACTCTTACCTGGCTTTTTGGGATGCAGATTTTCCAAAATAAAGGACAGGGAAACACTCAGCAGATCGCATGATTTAAACACAACTGACTGAGAGTATCAACTCCATGTAACTGAGCTACATAATGCACTTGTGGGAACTTAAAATTTTTGGTTTTGAAATTTCTTTTGATTCTTTAAATTTTTTTTTAACATACTCAGTCAAAACTTGCATGTAATAAATCCACAAATAAGACAGGCATATTGTATTATCATTCCCCATTTGCAAAGAAAGGGAGCTGAGA